GTGCCTTTCTAATTGGTAACTCAAAGATCTTGTCAACGATCAGTAATCATTGATTACTGTTGTGCCTTGAAATACTACAATAGCTTGTCGAGTAAGTTACTTAGAACCGAATTGACCTCATACCGCCGAGCTCACGTTATTTTACCTTTATTGGGATATGATAGTCCGAGCTGAGCGACCTCCGAGGTCGGTGTCAACAATATCCTATCAAGACTCAAAAAATGAGCACACGGATATGTTAAGGAATGAATTTCACATTGAATACACATAAAAACACAGATCAACTTATAAGGGCTTAACTACGTTTAACAATGTTGATTTTTTAAGATGGAAGGAGGAAGTGATGCTGCCTTTCTTGCATCACCACAAAAATTGTACATGAAACTTGGTTTTTCGATATTAGACCTACAAATCATGCCACTCTGAATGTCAACACTCTGAACCACCGTGCTGAATATTATGGTAATAATCGCTTAACCTTTGGTAATGGTTCTAGACTTGAAATTGCTCACATTGGTCAGTTCCTTATTCAATCTAATAACACATGCACCTTATCATTACAACTAAAGAAAATCTTACACGTTCCCAATATAACGGAAAGCTTGTTAAGCGTGTCGAAACATACTGCAGATAACAGAGTCGTCATTTAGTTTCACTCTAACTTTTGTTTTGTGAAGGACAAGCTGGAAGGTATTGTTGCAATGCATTAGTTTCAAGTCTTCTCAAAAAGTCTCTAAAGTTGTTCAATTTCCACAAGTTTATTCAGTCTCAATGGTTAAAAACTCTCAGTGGTAGAAATCCTACTATTGTGTCAAGAAAGGATGTTTTGCATAGGATGTTGGGTCGTCCATCTTTTAGTGTTGAGTCATGTCTTGAAGTCCTGTAATCTCAAATTCGAATCAATGAAAGTGCAAATTTCTCTGATGCTTTTACGTATGGCAAATCCTCACTCTTTACCTTTTAGCACCTCTCTCATACACACAAACAAACTTACCCCTGGATCTGGAACTTTTTCAACTCTGATTTTGGGGAGTATCTCCTGTTGCTTATTCTGGATTTAGATACTATGTGAACTTCTATTGATGATTATACTAGATACACTTGGATCTATCCATTGAAAAAAATAAGAAATACTTTGTTCAGTTCAAAACCTTAACCGAAAATCAATATGAAAAGAAAATCAAAACTCTTCAAGTTGATTGGGAACGGGAATATAGATCATTATTACCATATTTAAACCAAAATGGCATTCATTCTAGATGCCCATGTCCCCATACAAATGCTCCAATGGGAAAAATTGAAAGAAAGCACAGGCATATTGTTGAAATGGGACTTACATTAGTTCCTCAAGCCTCCACACTGTCACACCCGCTCGTCTCATAGCAAACATGGCGGAATTATCTAGAACAGCGGGGTCTTGAAGCTAATTCGGAATGTTCTAGACTATGATGGCTCATGAAACTAACTAGAAGGTAATGGAGAATTCTAGATAATTGGAAAGTCTTATACTTGTGGATTATTCTAGATAATTCTAGTTAATTTTTTTTACATATTTTATTATAGATACTTGTAGAAAATTCTAGAGACGGAATGTAGACCGTTGGATCAAATTGATC